AGAGAGGCCACCTGCCCGGTGAACTATGGGAGGAAAGGGATTAAGAATGCCTCCAGGTTTGTTTTTGGTTGAATGACCAGGTAGAGGGTGGCGGTGTTTACTGAAATGAAGAATATGTTTGTGGAGAGAAACTCCAGCAGCACTTACCGGCCTCCTGAGCCAACCTCTAGGTGCACACAAGTCACCCGGGAATTGTCGGACACACAGACTCCAATTCAGCAGGTCTGGGTGGAGAGCGGATTGTCTAACAGGCGCTTCTGTGGGCTGGTACCTGGATGTCCACAGACCACACTTGGAGTCGTGAAGCACCAGGCCTGAGTTGGCAAGAATTCAGTCAGAGCCAGCTGTGGGGATGGCCCTGATCCCTTGTCTGCCAGTCCTGACTGGGACCAGCACTGTGGGTGAGCTCGGATGGGTCACCTAGATATTCTCCCTTGCCCGACAGCTCCGTTCCTGTTCTATCCTGCACTGTGCCCCAGGTGGCCTATGCAATGGACCACATTACCCAGCATCCCTTGCACTCTGGTTTGGGTCGGGCTTGGCCACTGGGAGGTAGCAGCCGGGGAGTCAGGGTTTTCATTTTTCCCGTTCCTCCCTGCTGGATACCCACCGTTTGCTTTTTATGACTGCTGTTTAAGGGGCCTTTCTTCATCCAGGTTCTGCCGCTGTCCAAACAGTTGGTTCTAGAAACATTGCTCTCGTGAAGGATTTTTTCCCCTAATTACTGGGGACCATATTCTACTCTCCATTATCATCTGGCATCCCCTGTCTTCCCAAGAGTAGAACCCTGGTGTCCCAGACGTCTTTCTGGAAGTGCCAGAAACCTTCTCAGCTCACTCCAGGACTGTCAGGCACAATGGCACACACCATAATCCCTGCTACTCGGGAGGTTGAGGCAGGAGAATTGCAAGTTCAAGACCAACCTTGGCACCTTAGTGAGACCCTATCTCAAAATGAAATAAAAAGAGCTGGTGATGTAGCGTGGCGCAGTGGTAAAGCACCCCTGGGTTCAATCCCCAGTACACACACCACCACCACCACCACCACCAACAACAACAACAACAAACCCTCATTTTCGCTCCAGGCCACAGGAGGAAGTCGCAGGATAAATTCAGGGGTGCACATTATGAACCCCAGGGACAGGGAGCGTCTTCAGGCCTCTCAAGGAGTGGGATAGAAAGGACCAAGATAGTTTCTTTCTGTGTGTCTTTGCCTGTGCGCTGCTTGTCCCTCTGTCCACACCACCAACCTCTGTTCTGTCTGTGGTTCTGCTGCTCTCACTCATCTTTATCCCTGCGGGAGCTCTCACAGGGCCAGGCCAGGGTGAGCAAGTGAGGAGCCCACGCACGACCGCGAAGGAGACGCTAACTCTCAGGTGCTGACCCTGCACCTTCATGAGCTGCAGAGTGGGGGGGCTCTCCAGTGCGTGCAGGGCGCCCTGTGCTCGCTCACCCTGGCCCAGGCCCACTTGCTCCCCTGGTCTGCTTTTTCGTCTCTGACTCTGTCCGACAGCTCAGCTTCTCCCTGGTCTCTGCTTCTTGGTACCTCAGCAGCCTGATCTTTCTGCTTATGACCACATGGCTAAAGTTGGTGGCCCTACGTGTCTCCCAACCCAGCGCTTGGTACCTTAGTGAATATACTGAATACAGCCCAGTGGCCAGGGACTGGGACTTCCCTGCCTTTCATCAGGGGCTTGAGAACAGACTCTTTGAGGAGGGGGAGGGGTTGATAGAAACAAGGGCCCATTTGGCCATGGGTCCCCGAGTCTCTTCCTCTGGTGTAAGATGTGGCTCAGGGCACCCCTCACTGCCAGCACACAGTCTGCTTGGCCCTTGGGCCCTCCTGGGAATGTGCGGAAAACAACCAGAACTGAGTTTGCAGACAGGGAAAGACATGCTCCTCTCCTCCAGCCCCGTCATGGTTCTTTAAATGCCCTGAGTGCACATCAGGCTGCCCCCTCCTCAGCCACCAGGGCTCTCCCAGCTGGGTCTGTAGAGAGCATCGTCCCCTCCAATCGGGGTTCTGCTTTTAGATGTCCAAGCTGAGTGTGGTACAAACAGTGCTCTAACCCACTCTGGCCAAATGCTCTAGAGAATTCGGGAAGGCTCAGGAAGGAGGAGGCAGAAGCCTTCACTCTGGAGATGCAAGAAGAGCCTGAAGGAGGACTTGGGGGGTGGGGAGGGAAGTGGTCCCATTGGGGGCCCAGATGGCGCCGGCACCTGTGAGAGGATCCTGGGGAGCTGTGGGGCCCTGCAGATCCTACTTTATTTTGGGGGGACCTCGACAACCGTTTTCTACATCTCCTCTGGGTAATTTTTAAACAGCAGCAGGAGGATTTAGGGAAGACACTGCACCAGTTTAATGGGGAAGGTGTGGCAAGGGGCTTTGGGGCCATGTCTTGTCTTATTAGGAGAGGCCAGCCCAGGTGAGGAATGAGTGCAGGAAGGCCTGGGGGTGGGCATGGGAGCTGGGGAAGGAGGAAGAGGGCTGCCCAGGCCCTCTGTCCATGTGGAGAGAGGCTATGGAACTGGGGCCTTCAGGCCCACGTGCACACTCCAGGTTCTGGGTCTGCTTGGGGTTCGTGCAGACCTGCCACAGCCATCAGTGCCCTGTGCCCCTGAATCTGGACTCTGCTTCTGGGGTTGCTGGGACCCAATGCTCAAGCTTTACTTGCCTTCTACAGAGACGAGGCCCTCCCTGCAGGGAAGGATCCCCTGAGCACTGAGGGAAAAGATTATGCAGATGCAACATGGTGCTAAGTTGCTTCATAGTGAAAGAATCCAAGCCGGTGGCATCGTCCGTCCTCTGGAATCCTTATTCCATTCATTCCTCCGAGTGACATCTGTGGAGCTCCTTCCAAGTGCCATGTTCAGATCCCTGTGTCTAGACCTGCAGGGAAGACAGGTGCCACGTAAATCAAGGGCGGTGGTGAGGTGCAACAGGCTCTTACAGAGCACAGGAAAGGCAGCTGATTCTATGTGGGGAGTCACAGGAGCCTTTGCAGAGAAGGTGACATTTACTCTTAAAGGCTGAGCAGGGGTTTACCAGGTGGGAAAGAAAGATCCTCTTAGTGGGGGCCAGGAAGGCCTGGCTGACTTAGAGAGGGCGAGACTTGGAGTAGAGGGTGGTGGTAGAGGGGGGATGGATGTGACTGCAGAGGGTGGGTGGAGCAACTCTGCCAATCTGGGGGTCGAGGTGGCCCAGTTAATCTGTTAAACTTCTCTCAGCGCGGGGCCTTTCTGCATTTGCTCCTGACTCTGCAGAATTAGGTCCTGTGCAGGGGTGGGGTAGGAGTCAGGCCTTGGGGCACAGGGGCGTGTCCCCCAAGGGAAGGCTGGAGGCCCAGCAGTGCCCAGCCTGCACACATCACCTTGGCAGTTTGTGGGCAAACCCTCTTGGCCGAGGGAGGGGAGATTGCACTGCCAGCCACTTCCTCCAGTTCCTTCCCTGTGCCTGTCGTCACGGTTACCCTAGGGGTGAGGCTGAGGTTGGGCGGAATCAATTTCGGCCAGGTTTCTATTTTCCCAGATGCAGGTCAGCCAGAGGAGCTGTCACTTCTGGTTCTGTTTCAAAGGAAGCCAAGGGGTTGGGAGGTGCTTGGGTGCGGTGGTGTTGACGAGAAGCCTCCTGGGGGTGAGAGTGGGTCAGCAGAAGCCCAGAGGTGGCGGGGAAGGAAGAAGAGGCTGCCCTGCCAGGACTCAGGCCCTCTGTCCTGAGCTCCTAGAGCATGCTGGGAGTGCATGAAGAGAGGCTGCTTATTTTCCTGGCCTGTAGCCCTTTGGGCTGAGACCTTGCTGCAGGCCTTGGGCTGCCAGAGTCACCCCCGCTCCACCCCCTGCCCTGCTTGAGAAGTGAGAGAGTTGGCAAGCCCGGGGCAGTCCAACAGCTTCTCTAGTGGCCTCTGACTCTGAGCTGGCCCCAGCCCAGCCGGACCTATGAGTCCTCCAGATTTTCCTAATAGGTAATGGGCAGCAGGAGTTACCATACCAAAGTGCCCTGGACGGACCGGGGCTGTGCATTCCAGGATTCAAGAGCAGGAGAAATGAAGCTCATGAAATCTGAGTTTAAAATCCTGGCTTTGTCATTTCCCAGTTGTATGATCTAGACAAACGGAGTCATTGAACCTCAGTGTCACTATCTATAAGATGGGACAATAATAGCAGTTTCCTTATAAGACTCGATTATGAGAATTAAATGATGCACTGAAAGTATTTAGCAAAGTAGGCAACCAATGGCAGTTCTCGTTATCATCACTAATGAAGCTAACAACTGCCGCTTAGGCTCAGAGGCGGAGCTGGTGGGCGGTGGGTTTCTGTCTCCCCATCTAATGGGCTCATGCGTGGTGAGTTCCAACATGTCCTGGGAGAGAAGCGAGTTGGAGACACAGGAGGCCCCTGGGCTGGGCCCTGGAATCCCCCAGCTCCATCACTGGCATCCTGAGGAAGAAGAAGCAAAGGTGAAGGGTTTCCCTGGAGCCATTGGGAGATGGATAGGGAAATGGATCTGAGAATTTGGAAAGACCAGGAGGGAGGACCATCAACATGGAAGGGCGTGAGGGTTTAAAATCTCAACAGAGGGTGGGAGGAGGGGGTTAAAGAATCTGGGAGGTGAGAGGGGTGCAGGTGGGATGGGAAAGTAGTGTCCGTGCCCAAGACACTTTTAGAGGAAGTGCCTGAGAACTGCTGGCCCGGAAAATCATGCCCGCAGGCCTTGGGTCGGGCGCGGAGAACAGGCTGGCCCGCCTGCCAGGTGCAGCCTTGTCAAAGTGGCTTCCCCGGGTCCTGGCCCCCTAACTCTGGCAGGCTCAGGTAGCCCACCCTGGGCTTGTGGGAGGGCAACTGCTCCCCGGGATCCCCACTGGCCTGAGAGGATCCTCTTAGCAGCAGCCAGCGGGCTGAACACCAGTGAGCGCTCGGCTGGGAAGGGGGAACTGTCCCTCTATCTGTCCCTGTGTCCCAGTTGGTCTCAGTGCCTAATCGGTGGCTCTGTTGCCCTCACAGCTAGACGAGGAAGAGGAGCGACGGAAAAGGCGTCGGGAGAAGAACAAAGTCGCAGCAGCCCGATGCCGCAACAAGAAGAAGGAGCGTACGGAGTTCCTGCAGCGGGTGAGCCAGGGCTGGCCGGTGGGCGGGGACGCCTGTCCGGTCTTTGGAGCAGCTGGTGTTCTCTCTGCACAGGGGACATCATCAGATGGTGTGGAATCAATGGCCACACCCACTGCCCTTTCTGCCACCTGTATGATACCCTCTCCCCAAATCCAGAAAACCAAGGCAGCCTGCAGCAGCTTCTGCCCAACCTGTCACCTGGAAGCCTAGAAACCGTAGACCCAAGTGCCACGTGCCACATGGCCCGGGACTGGCACTACCAAATTTGGTCCCTTGTGCCCACCACTGTTGTCTAGGGTGGGTGCTCATGAAGCCAGATGATAACAGCATGCACCTGGGCAGTGGACAGAGCCAGTTTTGTGCAGAGAAAACCACCTTCCCTTAACTACAGGTGGCTCATCCAGCCCTGATCACCGACCAGCCCCACTGAAGAAGTGCCCCCACTCCCCACCCCAGGCTTGGCCGCTGTCTCTAGGGATCCAAGGCAGCCCTAGGCTGCTGAGACTTTTCCTGATTTCCTGAAAGCTTATTAGTCCAAACCAGTACCCAATCATGATAATAGTAAATATAAGAAATAATAGCAGTAACAATACATAATAACAGCATAAGAACAGGCCCTGTTCTGCCAGTATATAATAATTAACCACAGTTGCTAGCATTTATAAAGATGGCACTGTGCTAAGTGCTACATGAAATGTTTCTGATCTCATTTTGTTGGTTGAATAACCATATGAGGTGGGTGACTTTCTACAGATAAGGAATCCAAAGTGTAGGGAGGTCAAGTCACTCACCCAGGTCTCTCAGCGACTAGGTGGGATGAGAGCCCAGCCTGCGGCTGACCGCAAGCCTTTGTCCTTCACTCCGCCACACCGGCTCTAGTTCACTGGTTTACCAGTTGGTTCATTCGTTCTTTTGTTCATTCCTTGATTCCACAAGTGTTCGTTCACATGTGCTACATGTCCAGAGCTCTGCCTGGTGCACTCGGGGACAGTGCTGGACACTCTGCCTGCCCTGCAGCAGACAGAGCTGGGGGAGGCACAGAGGGCTAGAGAAGCCTCACCAGAGCTCCCTCTTCCAGAGGCCTGTCAGACCGTAGGCAGCAAGACATACCTGAGCCCACATACCAGTGACACACAGTGTGACATCCAGTCATTGCCAGACAGACAGCACTCACTGTCCTTCATTCCAGTAACACTTATCAAACACTTACCATGTGCCAGGTCTTTCATAAATCTCCATGAATCCTTTCAACAGTCCAGTGAGATATTAACTATTCCCATTTTAGAGACTGACCTGTAGCTTGGAGAGGTCAAGTTACTTGCCTGAAGTCACAGATGACAAGTGGAGGGCGGGGATTCACTCATCCATTTGCTCATCCACCCGTCCAGCCAACTAACGATGGATGAGTGCCAGCTGCTCCTGTCGCATTGTGGATAAACAGGCTGCGTCTGCCCTGGGATGGCCGTGGGAGCTGGAGGAGAGTCAGGTGTTCTAAGTATCCCACTGGGAGTCCCAGTGTACTGTGGGAACTGCAGGGGGCCTATCCTGGGCTAAGCCAAGGAACATCTAGGCTTTAGCTGTGAGATCAGAGCAGCAGAAGGAATAAGATGCTGGACATGGATGTAGGGGTTTCCAGGAAGGGTTCGTGCGAAGGTGGGAGGTGTTGCTTAGGGATGTGGTTAAGGCATTGACAGAATGTCTGTGTGGCTGGAGGTTAGGGAGCTGAGCAGAGCTGCAGAGGCAGGCGGGCCCAGAACTGGCGTTTGCGGAGTGGTCCCAGGTGCTGGGTTGCCTGGGACAGTCCGGGATTGTGCCTGTTGTCCTGGCCTAGTGACTAGGATGACGGTTTACGGAAAACCATGAGAGGGTTTCAGGAGGAGGGGGAAAACCTCTGAAGCATCCCTCTGGCTGGCTGCAAGGTGGGGCATGGGCTGCAGACCTGAGTAGTGTCCTTGTCCCAATGAGAGAAGATGAGACTGGGAAGGTGAAGAGATGAGTGTCGCCTGGGGTCTGGGTGGGACAGTTTGAGGCAGCACTGTCTGGGCCCAAGTCCAGGCCCCCTACTCCCCAACCCGCCTGGGAAGCGGAGGCTGAGTGTCAGGTCTAGGCATAAGTGCAACTGTCTGTGTTAACTGTGCCTCCAAACCCCCGGACACCAGATCCTCCCCTGGAGGATCAGGCAAGTAACTTGACCTCTCCAAACTACTGCATCTTGGAGAGTTCCCTGCCTCTACCAGCTGAGGCCCTGAACCCTGAGCAGGAATCAGGCCCTTAGAGGGGTTGGGTCCACACCTTGTAGGCCCTGGGGCTTCCCAAATGCCTCCTCTTCCTCTGTCTGTGGTCAGGAGCAGCAGCCCCAGGTGTTCTGAGTATTATACTGGGAGGCCCAGTGTACTGTGGGAACTGTCCTTCATTCCAGTAACACTTGTCAAACACCTACTATACCATACCGCTGGCCCTGTCCAGCGCCTGTGCCAAGGCAGGTTCTCTGGGTGTTGGTAGTTATGTCACCTCACGTTCCTATGGTGCTCTGCACTCTGCATAGCTCTCTCTTCTTAATGGTCACAACCACTCTGGGAGGAGACTAAGAGCCCCATTCCACTGAGGAGGATCCTGAGGACTCAAAGACTCACTCAATGTCACACAGTGGCTGAGTCAGTGGACAGAGAATCCAGGGCTTCCTCCGCTGTCTAGTGTCCTATTCAGGTTGCCCAGACTCAGAGGAATTACAAAACATGTTCAGAGTGGCGTAGCTGGCAAGTAGCAGTGTCAGAATTTTAACTTAGAGACGTCTTTCAGGCTCTGAATGCCACACCTCGCTACTTCTCAACTCTTAAAAAAAGTTTATGGAACTCTATTTTATGTACCTTTGAGTAATTTTTTGACTTTTTAAAATATAAAGCAAGAGACTGTAGTGAAGTCTTTTGGGCCAATCATCATGTTTTCTGAGTCATCACTGAGGCCCAGAAACAGGGAGTGACTTGGCCGGGCCACCCAGCCCTTCACCTAATATTTCTTACTACTGACTTTGCTGACCACAGCATAGGAGACAGAACCTCCCCTTGCACTGATTTGGTTCTAAAACAACAAATGGTTTCAATTCTTCTAGAGCAATTAATATCTACCAGAAGTCAAAACAACAAACACCAAAAAAAAAAAAAAAATACAGACAGAATCATTTCATTTCCTAATTAACATATGGAGGTCCTCGCTGGTTCCTATTCATTCATTAGGAAAACAAATTGGGTAATTGCTATTACAAAGCCACAAGCCACTTCTACAATCATGATTAAAAAGAGAGTCTTCTGAACACAACTTATGGTTTCACAAGAAATAAATATGTAGCCCCAGACCCTAACAAAAGGGAAAGGTGGTTAGTGACATTGTGACAGCCAGGCAGACTTCAAGAGAGCCCATGGTAGGCTTTCACATTCTCAAACCAACAGACAACTGCATTCCTGTGACAGTTGCCTGTGCAGAGCCAGTTGCCTCTCGCCTCATTGGTGTCAGGTGACACTGATGGGTTGTTTGGACATGCGGCTGTTTCTGGCAGGTGCATCTGTGTGTGATATTAATGAATTCTGCATGTTGGACACATCTGCTTGGTATCGGTTTTGACTTCAAGCTCGCTGCACTTATGAACTTCTCTGCCCTGCCAACACTTTACAGAACAGCTCTCCTGACAGACTCCTTCCTCAGTCTCAGGGTCAGCTCTGCTCCGTCTCCTCCATTCTCCAAATCCTGGTGGTCATCAGGACCTATTTTTTTTAAACATCTTTCTTCTCTCTTTTTCATATTATTGGGGATCAGTTCTTCTGATCCCCAAGATCATTGCCTTTTTTTTACAGATGAAATGACCAAAGCTTTGAGAAGTTAAGAAGTGTGCCCCAGACTCTGATGCTAAACCCACAGGCTTTCCAGAGCTATAGTCTAGCTCTTAACTTGCCTTTCCTGCCTTCCACACTACTGTGTCCAAAAGTGAGCTGTGGACACCTGGACCATTTGTATCTTCTTTTTTTTTTTTTTAAAGAATTTTTTTAATATTTATTTTTCAGTTTTCGGTGGACACCTTTATTTTATTTTATGTGATGCTGAGGATTGAACCCAGCGCCCTGCGCATGCCAGGCAAGCACGTTAGCGCTTGAGCCACATCCCCAGACCCATTTGTATCTTCTTTATGCATCTTCTGCTCTCCCATGTCTGTGTCCCTGCTCACTCAGGGCTCCTACCTGAAGTTCTTCCCTTCCCTTCTCTACCCACCAGAACCAACTCATCTTTTAAGCCAAGGAGAGACCCTGCTCATTAATCCTCTTTGAAGGTCTCCTAAGCCCTGGGTGGCTGATGGTTCCTAGTAAGTTCAGAGATGAGAAGATCCACAGAGCCTTTGGATTCCCCAGACATTCTCTGTTCCAGCAGGTCCTCCGCAAATCATGGGTGGTGGGGTACCCTGAGACTCCCTGAGGCAGAAGCTCAGGAAAATTTGAGGACAGAGCTAGCACTTTGGGCTGGAGAACTGGAATGTCAAAAGTCCCCGGAGTCACTCACTGTGCAGGTGGCTAACATTGGCACCAAACTTCCACAGACTATGATGGTTTCCTGTGGGGTCTCTCCTGGCTCCCAAGGTAGATTTCTCAGAATCCTGAGACCCATGGACCAGGCCAGCTTCCCAGTCACATCTCAGCCTGTCAAATGAAAAACCACCATAACTGGTTTTTAATATCTTTCCCGAGCACTTTTTTCCCACTTTTTTTGAGGCTTTCTCCCTGGGTCTCTGGCCACGAGGCTTACCTTCCCCAGCAGTCAGGAGCTCATTCTGCCACCTTGGAGATGAGCACAAGGAACAACCCAGTGGGCTGGACTGAGGAAGGCAGCCCACCTGGGGTGCGTGAGCCCCACTGAGCCTCCAGAACCCTTAGAGGGAGGCTGTTCCTCCTGCCCTGTGCTGTGGAGGGACAATATGATTGTCACATGCTCAGTTACACACAGCCTGCTCCTTTTTTTTTTTGTATCAGGGACTGAACTCACAGACACTTGGCCAGTGAGCCACATGCCCAGCCCTATTCTGTATTTTATTTAGAGACAGGGTCTCACTGAGTTGCTTAGAACCTTGATTTTGCTGAGGTTGGCTTTGAACTTTCGATCCTCCTGCCTCAGCCTCCTGAGCTGATGGGTTGCTGAGTCTCTGCCCTGTGGCATTTTGGATGGGATAGTTTTCACTGTCCATAGCAGACTGGCCTCTGCCCATCCTCCCTGTCTGGTGACAACCAAAAAACGTCTCCTGACATTGTCAAATGTCTCCTGAGAGGCAGAGTCACTCCCAGTTGAGAACTAAATTGGCCTAAAACTTTACTGGCCCAGGAATAAATTTCAGCTCTCAAACTGGTTCTAAGTGTTTAGGCATAGTCCCAGAAAAAAAAAAAAATCATTCAGATGCTTTTCTGCCATTTTGTTGGACCCCAAGGCCCTGAATTGGTGTGGCCATCACCTGTCCCCACTCGACACATGACCCCAGCCCCACCAAGTCAACATCTCTTCCTTTGTCCAGAGCCTCTCCAGCTCAGCTGGAAGTGCCTTGGAAATCTCACTTGAAGTCCATCTAAACCTCACTCGGGATCCAGTAGGCTGCTTGACAGTTGCCCTTCTGTGAACAAAATGTCTATAGATTTCAGCAGGTGTGGAAGAGACTGTTTAAATAATTATAGACTGACATGACCACACTGGGGTTCCACAGGCCAGAATATCCCCATTATATATTTATCATACATCAGAGCACTTGCCATTGTACTGTCATCCTTGGCCACCACAGGCCTTCTGTGCACCCTCCACTAGATCCTCCTGGCCTCTGTTCTTTGCCCACCTTTTACTTCCTGTGCAAAAGCCCCCGAGGCCGAACATGAGTCAGGCTGGCCCCAGAATGTCACCTGGACTCATCCCACTGTGACAGTCCAGTGTCACAATGTCACTGCCTGCAGAAAGTAGTTAGCCCAGAGCCTCAACTGCCACAGGGAACAAGTAGAAAACAACGCAGGCGATACCAATGCCACCCGCAGGTGCCCCGCGCCCACCCACAGGCAGAACCGCTCCGAGCCCGCGGGGGAGTCTCACAGTGTGTGTCTGTCTGCGCAGGAGTCCGAACGGCTGGAGCTCATGAACGCGGAGCTGAAGACGCAGATCGAGGAGCTGAAGCAGGAGCGGCAGCAGCTCATCCTCATGCTGAACCGCCACCGCCCCACCTGCATCGTCAGGACCGACAGCGTCAAGACGCCCGAGTCCGAAGGCCACCCGCTGCTGGAGCAGCTGGAGAAGAAGTGACCCTGGGCCTGGCAGAGGAGGAGGAGGAAGGGGAGGAGGAGGAGGAGAGACGGAGGAGGAGGGGGCTCCCAGACGGCCTTTCCTTGGTGCATGACAAACTCTACACTGAGGCTCAGCACGGCGGCCTCGGGCGGGCTCTGGCGTGGAACTCGGATCAGCCACACGCGAGGAAGATCCGGCTGAGGGAACCCAGAGGGACCAAGCGCTGAGACCAAAGCTGAACTGCGGGTGGGGCTGACCTGCCTGGGGCGCGGCCCGAGGGAGGCAGGACGAGGCACCCGCATCAGAGAAATGCCCAGCCGGCAGCCTCGGGCGCGTCTCCAGCTTCTCTGCCAGCGCCACCCACCCGAGGGACCACCGAGCAGCCAGGAAAAGCCATGAGTTGTAACCAAAATGGAGCTGAGGATGGAACTCAGCGCAAACCTGCAATCGCCTGCCCCTAGCCCTCCCCCGACCCTGGTACAGAGGTGGAGAGGGGCGGGCGATGTCCCTGCCCGGGAGGTGGCAGCCGGGTGACCCTCGCGGGCCTGCTGGAGGTTGCCGTGGGCACTGAGGCGCGGGCGCCCTTCCAAAGCACACACTCACTGAATGTTTACAGACTGGCTGTCCTGGCAGGGCTTTCCACTGCACACGGTTTTTATACTTTCTTTTTCTTTTTTTTTTTTTAAATATTTTTTACAAAAAAAAAAAAAGATTTTATACAAGCAATATATATATGGATTTCTATAATCACTCGATGTGATACAGTATAAATATGCTATGGTTTGTTTGTTATGGACAGATATCCACCCATTATGGCCGTTGTGTGTAACTCCTAAGTACTGTAGTCTCTGGGTGTCGGGGGTGGCTGGGGCGGGCTGGGGTACCTTTCCCTCCTTGTAAACCCTTCCTAGTACGCAGTCCTGTATTGCTCAGTAAAACATTGCTCTTACTTACCCAGCTGCCTCCTGTGGTGTCTGCTGGGGAGCAGGGTGCAAGGCGCACCCAATGTCAGAAAGTGTTTGGAGCGTCTGCCGTAGGCACTTGGTTTCCACAACCGCCCTCCCAGGTAGGTATTATTCTACCCATTTTTACAGATGAGGAAGCTGAAGCTGAGGGAAGTTCAGGTAACCCACAGTTAACCATCCTGAGAGTACTTACTTCACTCATTCACTTCACTAATGCTGGCTGGGCGGTACTCTCCAAGGTACTGAGCAGTCACTGGGGAATCAAACACTCCTCCATCTTGTCCCCCTGGAGCCTATAGGCACTGGCCCATCTCATGCTGGCTCCAGGTGCTGTCTCATGTCATCCACACTGCAGCCCCGCACGGGGGCAGCAACTGTCGCTCATTCACAGGTGGGGAATTAGAAGCCCCTGGAGATTAAACTTGCAGCCATGATTTGTTGAAGACTTTTAGGGTGACAAGCACATAGAATCTCATTGACTTCTCGGGACAGTACAAAGTAGGAATTATTCTTCTTGTTTCACAAATGACTTAGCTGAGACTCTAGATGGGCAAGGGACCTGTCAAAGCACACCCAGCAAGCAAGGGACAGAGCTGGTATTTGAACTCTGCCTCCAGAAACCTATGGCTTTTCTCTTGTCACTGGTTGACTGTGACTGTCTCCGTGGTTGAGTATCTCACCTGGTCAGAATAGGAAGCTTGGAGGCCATGGTTATAGATATGCTTTCCAGGAAGCCTGGATATTGTTTCAGCCTGTCTCAGGATCGTGGAGTGAACCAACTTTCCTGGCAAATGTGTGCGTGAGACAGGGGCACACCTACCTCTCACCTCCACAGCACGATGCCTCTTCACAGAGCAGGAACAGCTCCATGCCATTCACATGGCTAGTTAAATGCCATGTACCTTATCTCATGTGCTGCCACAGCTTGAATGGACAGGTGGGAAAGGTGCTTTTAGCTCCTCTGTAACGGGGGCTTATAAAGGTTAAAGTTCATCCAGATAAAAAGAGGCAGAACTGAGAGTGGATCCCAACATGCCTATCTTCTAACCACATGTTTTTCTGCCATGATTGGGGCTAGGAAATTAGTTGATGATAAGGACTGGTGTCTAGTCCACCAGTGACCTTGGATTGCTTCCTAAATCATGGACAGGGCCTTCTGGGATGGGTGAAAATGGAAAGTAGGTCAGGATACACAGTTGGTCCCTTGCTTCTGCATTTCGGGTTCCCTCCACCGTGTGTGGTGTGGGCTTCCCTGATCCCTGCCTCAGGCACAGCCCAGGCCGCCCACACTCAGCTGTGACTGTGTGCAGTGAACCGTCAGCTGTAATCCTTCTGCATTGTTCAGCTGAGAGAAGAATGAAGTCGTGGACTTACAAGGGCCTTCAGGTGACCTGGCAGATGCTCCTGTAGGACTACTGCCTGCCCCTGGCTGTGGCTCCTCTAGTTCCCTGCATGGGTACCAAGAGCCAGCCTCTCCAGATTAGTGTGCTTCTTAGGCTGTATGGATGGGCTGTCCCCAGAATCAGTGAGCCACATTGGGTTGTCTTGCTGTGGTGTCTTCCTCCTGCCCAGGCCTGCTGCCCCTCCCAAGGGCAGCCGAAGTCACAGTCACAGCTTCATTGTGGCAGCGAGTGCTTGAGGGTCTTCTGTGCTTGGCTCTGCACATGGGCTACTTCAGCTAGCTCACAGCCTTGTTGGGAGGCCAGGGCTGTATGTCCATGTTGCAGACAAGAAAACCAAGGCATAGAAAGCAAGTGCCTTGCTCCCCAAATCCACGGGCCTGCTAGGGGCCGGAGTCAAGATGTTACAGTTTGATTTCAGGTGTCACTAGGTAAAGAAATGCTCTGAGTTTGTGGTGTGACCTTGCCAGGGCGCTTGGCTAGAGGCCAGGAGAGATGTCACAGACCTGCCTGTGCTCCCAGTATATATTCCGAATCCTTGATTCTCAGATGTCTATCTCCAGCTGACATGCTGCTAAGATAAAGGGACTCAAGATCCAATCATTGGAATTGCTTTTTTGGCAGTACTAAGGATTGAATCCAGGGCCTTGTGCATGCTAGGCAAGCGCTGTACCACTGAGCTACATCCCAGCCCTCACGATCCAATCTTCTACTACGAACCTCACTTATCAGTAAAGTAGGGACAGTAATAATCTGAGTCCTTCTCACAGGGGTATTGTCAGGATCAAAGAAGGAAAGGATGTGTTTTATGAAAAGTCCCCCCCCAAAAAATAGCAATTTCCTTGTCCTCTGTTACTGTGTATAATTGTTGATATTTGCCACCCAGTACAAATTTTTTGAATAGCTTTTATTCTCTGAAGGTGGGTGCAGAGTTTGTGTTCTCACCATGTATCTGGTCCCCATGGTGGGATGCATGCCTGGGATCCAAGGCTCGTGGGTCCATTCAGGCTCATCATTCTGGGCCTCAGGGTACCCTCCTGCCAGATGGTCATAAATAAGACCTGTGTCACCTCTGCCCATGGTTCCTATGAGAATGCATTGGGTGGATATGTGCCACCCTGGCTTGAGAAGGACAAGACTCTTTAGCCCCCAGGGGACAGAAACTAATCTGTGTTGGCCAGAATGTGGATTAAAGGAAACTCACCTACACTGCCAGTGGGGGAATTGTGGTGACAACTATGTAAAGCAGTCTGTCACTAACCAGTAATGCTAAAGCTAAATGTATCCTTGATTTAGCCGTTCACTTCCTAAGTATGTACGTAGAGGAAGGCTAGCATAGGGCAAAGCAAGGTACGAGATTGATCATTGATGCTTTGTTTCTATTAAAGAAAAATTGGAGACAACCTGAATGCCTATGAATATAAGAACGAATAAACAAATTGTAGTGTTTTGATAAAACTGAATATGATTCAGCCATTATAAGAATGAACCAAATACAGGTATCAGTGTAGATAAATCTCAAAGACAATGTCCAGCTGAGGCCAGGGAAGCAAATAGCAGATACCATTTATGTAATGTTCCTAAACATGCAGATCGATACTTTTTGTTTAAAGGTACACACAGTTCTGGGTAATAGAAGTATAAAAGCTTGCACAAGAATGTTATATCAAAATCAGTGATAGGGAGTGTTCCTGGGGGGGGGGAGAAGGGACTGGGGATAGCATCAGCTAGGATAAGTAGGACACATGGGTTTCTGCTTTATGCATAATATTTCATTTAATTTTAAAAGTTGTCATCAGTTGGGTGTAGTAGCACATGCCTATAATTCTACCTCCTAAGGAGGCTGAGGCAGGAGGATCGCTACTCAGCAAGACCCTGCCTCAAAATTTAAAAATTTAAAATAGGATGGAGATGTATTTCAGCGGTAAAGCACCACAGGGCTAAATCTTCAGTAACTGCCCCCCCCCTCAAAAAAAAGTTGTCATCAAATGTAGAATAACAGTAGAATTTGTCATAGGTGGGCAATATGCACACAGATGTGGGTTATATTCTCCACACTCCTCTGTACATTTGGTTCATTTCCTAATTAAAAAAAGAGCAAACCACAGTACAAATAGAATATTTCATATTTTCCATAGCAAACTCAGAAAAAAAAATCAGTCTGAAGTTACAGTGGATTGCAGCATACGGTCCCTGAATTTATGCACATTTAATTAGAGGCCTAGATGCTTGAGGGTCTTCTGTGCTTGGCTATGCACATGGGCTACTTCAGCTAGCTCACAGCCTTGTTGGGAGGCCAGGGCTGTCTGGAGGGAGAGAGAAACAACTCCGAGGGTGTAGAAGAAGTTGAGTGGCCCTGGGGAGGGCGTCCTGTGGGGAGGGCACCTTGGGTAGTGTTGATCTGCTCTAGTTTAGGGGCGCCCAGTCCCTGAGCTCTACAGGGAGCAATTAATGCAGGTTCAAGGTTGATTCAGACTCTAGATTCCTCCTTACCTGCAGCCTTTTGAACCCCATCCCCATGAGAAATGCAACTCCGTGGCACCTTTCAGAGGTGCCGTGAACTAGATGCAGTTGTCACAGGTAGATCTATTTCGTGTTGCTATTGCAACGAATTTAATGGCTTAGAACAACACTTGCTGGGCTAAAATCAAGGCATTGATAGGTAGGGCTATGTTCCTTTGGAGGTTCTAGGGGAAGAATCCATTTTCTTGCCTTTTCCAGCTTCCGGGGTGGGGCACACATTCCTTGGTTCATGCCCCCTTTCCATCTCCAAAGCCAGCAGTGGCTGCTCAAGTCTCACATCCCATCACTCTGACTCTTATGTCTCCCTCTTCTTTCTTTTTCTTTTTTTCCAGTTCCAGGGATTGAACCCAAGAGTGCTCTACCACTGAGCCACATCCCCAGCGCTTTTTATTTTTTTTTTGACGCCATCTCACTAAGTTGCTGAGGCTGACCTCAAACTTGCAATCCTCCTGCCTCAGCCTCCCAAGTCTCTGGGATTGCACATCCATGCCACCAGAACCCACTCTCTTCTATTTTTTTTTTAAAGGATCCTTGTGATGGCACTGGGGCTACCAGAATAATTCAGGATCATCTCTTTAAGTCTAACTGGTTAGTAACCTTAATTCCATCTACAGCCTTAATTCCCCCTGCTCGTGTGATATATTCACAGGTTCCAGGGATTAAAACGTGGACAATTCTGGGGTGGCCATTATTCTGCCTACCACACAGGAAATTAAAAGTTGTAGGTTCTTAGCTATGACCCTTCCTACTTCCTGGCAAGATAGGCTATTTCCCATGGAAGTGCCAAGAGGATCAAGTCCCTGGGTGGCACATCCCTTGTGGCCAGCACGGCGATGCCTGTCGCACACAATACACACAGACAGATGTACAAACTCACAGACTAAGTGAGGTTGTACATCTATATGCACAGCACGCAGACCCACACATAGATCCACATTAAATACGATGAGATGAATGTTAGTCTTACTCTTTTATCTGAAAACAGTGCTGAAATTTTGAAACTGATTTTCTTGTTTGGTTCCTAAACTGGCAGTGTGGGTGCTTCCTAAAGAGGCGACTCCTGAT